AGTCAGAGGTGACCCCATTTACTCGTGGCAGGATGCGCTACAGTGGGGCAGAGCAAGGCCCTCCCTGCTCATTAAGGCCACTCCTGGCTCTCCGCTCTGCACACCCTACGCCCCCACAAGGGCTCTTCAGCGGCTGTCTTGGTGGCTGCTGGGTATCCTCAGGACTCCTACTCAGACAGACTGGGCCTTGCCCGAGAACTTCAGACTGCTTTCTACTGACTGACAGTAGGTGGCACCAGCAGCCTGCCTTAAAGCCAGCTGGAGCAGAAGCCCCTCCCCCAATTCCTCCAGAGCCTTCCCACCCACCCCCACCTGAAGACCGCCTATGTCCCTTGGACAGCCTCAGGAAGTGCAGTGGGCATAGGGACTCTGTTAGAGACTGGGGCTGTGGTGGGCACCTGTAAGGGTCTGGTGGAGTTGGAGAGTTTGGAGGTCTGGAGCTGTCTGAGACACTGGGGCAGGGAGGTCTCACCCAGGTACTGGCCCTTGCCCTCGCGGAAGGGTGGTCCCACAGGTCCTTTCTGCATAGGCTGCACGTACTTCACAGAGGCGTAGCCTGCTGCCCCGCCAGCCCCGCCGCCAGAGGATGCCCGCAGCAGCAGCAGCAGCAGCAGGAGGAGGAGGAGCGTCAGAATCCCCTGCATGGTGGTCCTGGTGTGCTGCAGGAAGAAAGCAGGGCTCATCAAGCCTGGGCAGTGGGCAGAGCAGCCCCAGGGGCTCCCACAAAGACAGGACGTTAGCTATCATTCCCAAAGTCACAGGAGCCCACCCAGGCGACCTTCCAACCCTCCTCCAAGCCTGCAGTTGCTCTCCATCCCTGCCGCCCCTGCAGCCTGCCAGGCACCCAGGACCACAGCTCCCCAGACAGGCCACTGTGCAGCCTGATGTGACTTCTAGAGACCAGTCTGGCCTCAGCATGCCCCCGGTAAAGCCTTTGATGATAAGCCCCACACCATGTGCCAGGCACTGGGGTGCACTCTTCAGAGATCTGAACTCACTGACTCCTTGGAACACTTGCTCATTACTACTGTCATCTCCACTCCCAGGTGATAAAACCAATATCAAGTCTTTAGGAAACAGATCTGGGACTTCTGATGTCCACGTGACCCCCATGTCATACCAATGCCCTTCATGCCCTTCCCTGCTCCCTTCAGGATAAGGCCATGCTGTTTAGCTCAACAGATTTTTCCCTCATACTGAGGGATTGAACCCAGGGGTATTGTACCACTGAGCTGCATCCCTAAACCTCTCCCTTTCTTCTTTTTATAAATTTTGAGATAGGTCTCTCTCAGTTACACAGATGGCATTAGAATTTGTGATCCTCCTGCTTCAGCCTCCCTGCAATTACAGGTATGCCAAGGCATGTGTGCAGTCTGAGTTTCCATGCTTTCATTTGTATGCAGTGCTGGGGAGTGAACCGAGGGCCACACATGTGCTAGGCAAGTGTTTTACCATCAGGAGGCACCCCAGTCCTTAGCTCCCTTTTCTGCATCTGTAGAATGGGTTGATCACTGTGTGGGCTTCCTGGGCTCCTCGGGCAGATGTGTGCAAGCTAAGGCCTAAAGTCCTGAGCCAGGGCCTGGCCATACAGGGCCTGGACACAGTAGGTGTTGCTGTCACCCTGAGGCCTGGGGAAGGGCAAGTGACCCTCAGGGCTACAGAGCAGGTTGGGGGTGGAGATGGGGAAAGCCTGGAGCCTACCTTCAATCTTTCAGTGCTCCATACCCCTGAGCTGGGGGGCCCAGCCTTACTAGGAGGCGTCTGCTCCCCATGGGCCTCCCTGAGTCCCAGCCATTTCCAGGAACAGGTGCAGTGGTCCCCAGGGGAAAGGATGGAGGGAAGGGGATTCCCCAGGTGGGAAAATGCAAAGTCCCTCATTCAAGTGATGGGCACCAGCTCTGAGTCAGATACACTATCTCTCCTTGTCATAATGGCCCTAAGAAGCAAGTGGTTAACTCACTTTTAAAAAACAACAGGTCTAGCTGGTCATGGTGGTACGTGCCTACAGTCTCCTACTTGGGAAGCTTGGCCACAGAGTGAGACCTTGTCCTGGAAGTAAAATGATGCAGAAGGAGGAAGGGAAAGAGGAGATGAAGAGAAGGGAAAAGTCCACTGTACGGGTCCAGTTCATCTGTGTTTTCAGTGGGCTGCCTCAGGCCTTTATGAAGAGCACTGCAGTCCACCAAGCTCCCCGTGAGGGGCTGCCAGGAGCCTGGGCCTCTTCTGCAAACAGGCCTCGCTCCCAGGTTCAGCTGAGTGCTGTGTGGGGCACAGGCTGGTGTGGAGCGGTGAAGCTGCCAGGAGACTTGCCCCATGTGGGCCTTGAAGGATGAGGAGATGAAATTAACCTCAGAGGCAGGAATAATAGTGGAACAACCACAGCGCTGCACTCCTGAGCCCAACCTGACCCTACATGCTCCCGCTCTCGGGGCCCCCTGAGCTCCCCCTTGGGTGGCACCAGAATGTCCTGCATGCCCACCCCAGTGTGAGGCATGAGCCAGAGAGAGAGCAGTTTCCAGCTGAGGGAGGCCAGGGCTGAGGTCAGGACACCACAGGAGAACCTGGGCAGCCTGGCCTGGGGAAGTCCCAACCCCCTCCCCATCTGGGGGTGGAGGGATAATGAGGTTCAACCGAAAGAGTAGCCGGGTACACTGGGTGCCAAGAAAACCAGGACCATGTCCCCTACCAAGGTACCTACCTTTCACCTCTCTTGATAAGGGGGTCCTCTAGGAAGTGTCCTATAACTCCTGCTCTGTGGCTTCTAGCACCTTCTATCTGGTACGTGTGTGTGTGTGTGTGTGTGTGTGTGTGTGTGTATACACACGATACTGGAGACCAGGCCACACACTGGGATCTTAGCAGGTATTTCCATGTGGAAGACAATAAATGAGAACCACAGCTCAGAAGGGAGGCATCACATGCCACCTAAAATTTTTTCTTTCTTTTTCTTTTTTAGTGGAACTGGGGATTGAACTCAGGCCCTTGTACTTGCCCGGGAAGTGCTTATTCCACTGAGCCATCTCCCCAGCCCCGCCTGAAAGTTTTTCACTGAAGATATTTAATTCCCAGTGTTTAGGGAAAGAGATGCTGTTACAGGTGCCCATTCTACAGATGGGGATACTGAGGTTCAGAGCAGCATGGTGATATGCACATTGGACAGGAATGGACAGAGGATGGGGAGAGACGGGGCAAAGAGGGAGCTGGGGAGTGGAGCAGTGGGGACAAGGAGGGTGGGTAGGCTGGAAGGAGGTGCTGGGCTCCTTAACAAAGAAATCAGCACATGTGGCTGGTGTGGGGCTGAGAGCTGTTCTGGGCTCCAGAAGGAGACAGTGTCCCCCCGAGCACCTGCTGGCCCCAGCTGCCAGCCCCACAGCCACATGCCTCCCTGTCGTTGTAGCTCCCCATGCCAGCTCCCCAGCTGCCCTGGTCTGTGTGCTCTGGTCCCTCAGGGCTGTTCCACCCCAGCACGCACAAGCCCTTGTGCACCACAGGCACCCCAGCATGGCACCTCCTTTGGGCTCTCCCACTCACCCTGACCTGCACTGCCCACTCTGTACCCAGCACAGTGGGTACCCGGTGGCAGCGATGCTCTGAAATGACTGCGAACTCAACTCACCATCAGACCCACCCAGCCACTCCCAAGAGCTTTACATCTGTCCCAGTTCCCCCCACTCAGCCCTAGACTCTCGCCCTCAACATCAGCCAAGCATCCTCCCTGGCTCCTCTCAGGCACCTCCCCCAGTGGCTGCCATTTCTTTCTCCCTCATTACTTACTTTCCCAACCCCAGGTGGCCAGACTGAAGTTGTGCATATCACTTCCGGCCCTTCCTTCCCTGGGAATTACAGACTATCCTTCGTGTGCCTAGGTGCCCTTCCTTTCAGCCAACTGGACAGGGTGGGGCAGAGGCCCTAATGGGGTGTGTGCCCCTAAGGCCAACATTTGGGAGGCTGAAGCAGAAGGCTTGAAAGCATGGGGCCAGCCTGGACTATGTAGTAAGACCCCATCTCAAAATAAAGCTAACACACAGTGGCACACCCCTATAATCCCAGCACCCTGGGAGGCTGAGGCAAGAAAGATCAAAAAATTGCCCACCCTGGGCAGTTTTGTGACACCCTGTCTCAAAAAACAGAATATGGAAAGGTCTGGGGATGTAGCTCAATGCAAAGGCCCTGGATTCAATCCCCAGCACTGCATACATGCATGACTTTGTGCCTACTTACATCTATACATACATACATACATAAATACAAATTTTTTGTTTGCTTTTTGCAGAACTGGGGGTTGAACTCAGGTCCTTGCACTTGCTAGGCAGGCACTTATTCTACTGAGCTATCTCCCTGGCCGCTGTAAATGCAAATTTTAAACATATTTTTATTTATTT